GCATGTCTGTTTATCAGATGATGGCTTGGCTTTGACAGAAACAGGAGTTTTCTTTCTTCCATGCTCTTAAAAAAGGCTGAAAGAAGTGAGAGGGCAGTGACTACCCGTCCGTGGGTGTGCATGTGTGAAAGTGTGAAAGTGAGAAACAGAAGCTACGCATATGTGTGTGGGACTAAATGTGAGATGTGAGCTTAGCTACAGTAACACAACTAAAACTGAACATCGATGCGGAGCCCTGCATCAAACAAGGGTTTGGTTTTTTATTATAAGCTGAGAAGTTGTGAATGATTAACTCGTTATTTCTCATCACACTGCAAAACGATTCAGCACCCTGTGATGTGTGTGATGCATTTTAGCACCGTGGGACAAACCCTTCTTGCAGATGTGAGTCGGGTTTTGGTACGGCATCGGTGAGGCGCAGCTCAAAGTCCTGGCAGCGCAGCGGGCTGTCTTTGTAGTGCTGGATCAGGGCGTACACGCTGGGAAAGTGCAGGTTTGGCGTCATGTAGAAGGAGGTGTGTCCGCCCTCTGTGACGGAGCGAATGCGACAGTGCTGCACCCTCCCGCCTCGCCTGAAACACGTGCAAACAAATGACAGAAATGATGACATCGACATCAAGCTTTCTTCTCCAGCGTAGCAGAAACATGAAGCTACCAAAGTGTTTACAGCTGACCTGTTCAGCTTCTCTTTATTCCCAATCATAAATATAACTGAATTCAAATTGAATATATTCTAGTCCGAGTTTCCATTTGAGTTTAAACGTGTTTTCGGCCTTATTTTGATAGATGCAGTGAAGCCTGACAGGACAGACAACAAAGAGCTGAGGGTCGTATTGGAGCCCAGGCCGGCTGCTTATCCCACCGAGCTGAACCGGCGCCCTCAGTTTGTATTTTCTGTTCAAAAGTGGAACGTTTGGATTACAGTTTTTATTTCGTCATTGTTCTACTGACCTTATTTCCTTATTAAATTACTGAGTGTCTGGTTTCTGTTTACTTCGTGATTTTCTAGGAATGACTTCAGTCCTTTGTGTTTTCTGGTCCTTGGTTCTTGTATTTGTAGTTATTTGTAGTTTTCTCCTTCGCGCTCACTTTTCCATGTTCCCCCTCTAGAAGTTCATTCATGTTTCAGCGTTTCCTTGTTTCAGTTATGGCTATTGTTGGTTTCCTGTTTTACTTTGATAGTTAGGTTTTACTTCCTCCACTGTCTCGTTGTCCTTAACAGTTTCATTTGTGTCTCCAAACTCCTGTGTTCAATC